CAAAAGGCCTGGGGTCATTGATCTGCGATGTTTGCCCTCAGGACTTTGCCTGCCTGGGCCAAGTCTTTCGTTGTGGCGATGGACAGATTGGGCCTGACTGCTATCTGCCACTCCTCTCTCTCTGAGTGAAATCGAAAGGGGAGGATTGGAATGGTGGGAGAGAGGGTGTGGGCATCAATGTTTGCTTGGGATGATAGATCCGGGGGGTTCTCATCAGCGATCTTGTTGAGTGAGTAGGAGACATCTCCCAGTTCTTGGTTCTGGTCTTCCAAAAACCTTGTTTGTCTCTCAAGAATCGCTATTTGCCTTCTCATTTCCTTCTCCCGGTTCTTGTCCTGACCAATCAGGCCATTGACTAAGTTTCTCATTTTTCCTTTCGAGTCCCTTTGTTCCCCCTTGCTCCCCTCCTTCTCCTTGATCTCTTTTGCGCATTCCATTGTGTCACATAGGTAGGACTCCGGCCAGTCTACTGTTTGGGCTGCCGAATCGTGCATGTCGTTGTTCGATCCTTCCACCTGCTGGTCCACGTATTGTAGTGCGAAGTACTCAGAAAAGTCGATCTCTGGTTGCAGTGGATCGAATTGGTTTGGGGAGGTTGGGAATCCTGCCGCGTTGTCCGTTGGATTTGTCTTTTTGAGGTTGCTTATGTGCCTGGCATGGGCTAAGCGGATTTCCAGATCCAGCTCTCTACGTTGCTTAAGAGAATCATTGTATTTCTCTAGCGAGTTGAGTGTGCTTGCTGGGTCCTCCTCATCTGCTGTTTCCTGGATGTCCTCTGACTGTCCTCCAGTTGGTAGAGTATCCTGATGCGTTCCACTGCCTCCTTCGTCCTTTTCTGCTTTTTCCTCTCTGCTTTCCTTCGAGTCAGATAATGTCTCAGATGCTTTGCTCTCATCTTCTTCGTTTCTGATTTTTCTTTTCATTTTCCCTGAGTCACCTCTCCTCTCCTTTAGATTGTCTTTCCCTTCCATCACTGATCTCGAATGCAAGTTCTCCAAGTACGCCTTTTCTGCTTCTTTGCCATGTTCTGTACATCGACTGTTCCATGTGGAAACCGACACCCAATGCTTTCTTTTCGTATTTGTGAGTGGATCTGTCGTTCCTTCTTCCGCCTCCAGTTTGCCATCGCCTCCCATATGGTGGGAAGACGTCGGGCTTGCTGGCTGGTTATGGGTTCGCCAGGGTCCAGATCCAACTAGGAGTATCTCTGAGATCGTCAAGAACCCAGCTTGCATAAGCTGGGTAGTTGATTATCCAGATTTCCTTCATAGCTTCCGCTTCCACGAGCATGGAAGGGGAAAGCCTTCTTCCTTCTCCCTTTCGAGTGTTTTGTGGGCATAGGGGGTCGTTTCCCATGTGCCCCTTTATTCTACATCTGAAGCACATGGGATTCGATTTATGGAGATGCAGACAGTTCGCACTTCATGACCCACTTTGAAGAACCACTTGTCTGGGAGGTCAGGCGGGTTGCTTGTCTTCAGTTCGACGCAAGCAATTCTGGAGTTGGCACTGGGGGTCAGGAAACCGGGTGCTGAAGAGACCCATTCGACTAGTGGGCACTGGGGGTAAGATTCCGTCAGTCTTTCATCCACTAGTCCATGTAAGCCGTCTGTCAGATTATCAAATTGAATCCAATAGTTCTTTGTCATCAAAGATTGTCTGTGTCTTGATGACCCTTGCAAGGCTGACCTGTCCGGTCTCCATTTGGAGAATGAAACTACTGACCCTTCACAATACACTGCTTGGACTGAGAGCAGGTATTCAGTGTACTTTGGACCTGTGCACAACACGGTGACTGCGTTCCTGCCTCTTTGCTGGTATGCGACTTTGGGCTCTGTGTCTCTCAGTTTTTCCAGATTTCTGAGAGCTTCGCGCACCCTCCTCCTTTTCTCAGTGGGCGACCAATGCTTGATTTTGGCTGGGAAGGGTGCTACTACTGCGTGAGATTCATAAAATTCATTGAGTACAGGTAGGTGGTCCTTGGGATACTCCCAAACTTCCACCTCGATCTCTTCTCCGCCTTCTTTTACCAGCGTTGTGGATACTACTGGAGTGACTTTTGTCTCCTTCACCATCAGGTTCAAGACCTCTTGGCTTGGATCGTGTTCGTTTTGATTGCGTGCCTTAATCAAACCGCTTGCTGCACTCAATCCTTCTGCCAACGCTGCGGCTGATGATTGTGAGCTCGTCATGATGGCGATGACTCAGAACGTGGGGTGTGGGTCTTGATAAAGGGTTTGTTTGGTATGGAGGGAAGCTGCGCTTTTAAGGTGCCGACCTGGATGAAATTGAGGATTGATTATGTGGTTCTGAACCGAGACGGGTTGGCGAGCGAGTGCCAAAATTTCTTTTGACAACGTTTCCCTATCCCACTTGGAGTTGGGATTCTCAAAAAGAGGATCGTGGGAGAAATGTGCCTGAGATAAAGCAGATTTGCGGAGGAAAAGAACGAAATTTGTTCGCTTTGTCCCGATATTGTCCGAGGTCGGAACTATCTACTCCAGCCTGGGTGGACCACTGTTGGCTGGATTAAACAAAGAGCATTGACGAGTAGTGGCAAGTAGTATTACCCCTTTGACCAGGTAAGTTAGGACAAAGGTGAAGCGATTTGGACAAACGAAAAATCAATTGGACAATCATCAAACCGAATTGGTCAGTTCGATTTTCCTATTTAGTTCATGATCGGAACCGATTTGGGCAGTCGATACAGGTTGGGATAAGTGATGAGCATTTTGGACACATCAGATTTAGGTTGGGATAAACGATGAGCATTTTGGACATACTGGATATAGGTTGGGATAAATGATAACCATTTTGGACAGAATGATTTAACAGTTTCGATGCATGCCAGAGTTAGGCAGATTGATTTAACAAATTAGTATTACCGAAACCCCATTTCATACAGCAGTCAACCGATTTGAGATTCTGTGGACACCATCGGGACGAACAGAGATATCAATTTAGTGAAGCGATTTTACATGTTAGTCACATGCGTCTGAATCACGGGCCTGCTGCTCCCGAATCACGGCCTGCTGCACCCGTAAACTGTCGACCTAGAACTTCGCCCCGATTAGTTTTGCCGAAGTTTTGTGTCACCTCTCTAATCCATCCTTGGCACATCTCGGCAGTGATCCGCAAAAGACCCCGGTTGATTGCATCAATCAGGTTTCCCTGCCCCCCAAGTTCCTCACGACAAACGCGGCTCTTGACATTGCCTCCTCTCCTCTTGGTCGTCTCTGAGCCATAAGCCTCGAACGCGATAACGATGTTGTGCACAGTACTGCGTGGAAAGCCATAGCGTACTGCAGTCTCTGCAATCGTTTTGCCTTCAACGAAGATAGACTCGATGATCTTTCGCCTCTGAACATCGT